AAAGGATTAATTAAACCTTATACTCCTTAGTGAGATGGCCCAATTATGTGGCTACATAACAAACAGCTCTTCCACTTGAGAATTTGGTTTCTATATCTACATGTAGAAGTACTGCAGATGTCACGGGAAAAGCAGAACGAGCTCACTTTAGTGCACTAAAACGTTGTAGGTGCTGCTCTACAACACTCCCCAAGTGATCGAATTCTATGCTTAGAGCAACCTAATGGACCGAAGTCCATTTTTCTTGTACTCTAATTGGGTTAGAGGGTATCACGTGAACGTTAACAAGTTTCGATGTTTTCCCTGTAACGGCTTTAATCAAAAAATCAAATAACTGCTTTTTTTTTCTTTGACACTTGGTATATAACAAAACAATTATTGACTTGAACCTCGGGAAAGCAGTGTGTTTTGTGGTCCCTCGGCTTCGTCTCGTAAAACATCGCCGTCTCGGGATCACAAAACACACTGTTTCCCTCGGTCCCAGTCAATAAGTGTTAAAAGTAATTATTTATGAATTGTTTAGCTGAATCAAAAAAGCGCAAGGAAGTATTTCAAGCCGATTATAAATAAGTATATCAATATATGGCAATGGAACCTACTGTCGTAAGCAGGTGACACTGAGGCGAAGATCCGAGAAAATAATATTAAAATGCACGACGGTATGAAACATGCACGCACTTTGAACGAATTGGGTAAAACAAGGCCGCTGAAGAACCATTTTCAGGGCGAACAATGAAAATCGAATGGAAGGATACTTAAACAAGATGGATGGAGGGATGAAAGAAAACTATCGAGTATGTAATCAGCAAATTCAGCCAGTTCTCGGAACGAGCCATAATAAAATGAAAGTTAAGCGGAAAAAAAAAATCCTTAACAACCCGCCTCGTTTATCGTTTTTCTCAGAACGTCAGGAAAAGAAAGCAGGGCTAATACTTTTAGCAAGTAAAGTAAAAACAGTCTTACTTAGATATCGTCTGGCAGCTCTTTACCTTGTAAGATTGAGTATAGAACTAAACATCAAATGATTTTAAAGGAATTGAATAAACAAAATTAGGAATACACCGAGTCCAGTCGTATATTCAGTTTATAATATACTTACCGTGTTAGCTATGGCTCAGGCTCTAAGCTTTGGGTTCAAATCAAGATCAGCTCAGCTTTTCAACCAAGCTGTGGTTTGGAAATGACGTCAGAATGAATTGAATTGTAATGAAGTCGAAAACAATTACCATGATGAAATTATAAAACATGCAATGCTTATAAATGTACTAAATAATAAAGAACTGAAGTAATTTTTTTGTTTCTAGTGGAAAAAACAGAGCGACCAAGATAAAGTCCAAATAACACATAAATGTACATATATATATGTGGAATAAAAACACCCATCGAAATTGCGTAGGACGAGAATTGTGGCCCCGCGCAAATCATTTGAAAAACTCAAACAGGAAAAGAACGGTTTCCCTTGTGAGATAGCCGAGATTTGAAGGTCTGATTTACAGGTATGAAGTATGCGTGAAGCATATTCAATGAGATCTGGTATGATCAGTTATTGGATTTGACAACCCTCGACGAAACTAATGAATGAAAACCGTTTGTGAGGTATTCAGAAACCTGAAAATGTAAATTGTTCTAAGTTTGAACAGATTCTTTATTTGCGTGCGAATCATCTACAATTCGGCTTTCAAACTTTTGAAGTGGGCGAGATTAATATCTTATGTTGAAATAAAATTATGTATGTCAGATTGAGATACGTGAGTTATAGAATCTGCAACATAGTGCAGTGTTATAAACATACTATAAATATATTTATAAAATATTTGAAATATAATGTGCGCTGATTGGCTGGCTGCCCGTGTTTATATCAGAGGACAGAGGCACGCTCGCGCAAAATCATTCAAAAATAATATATCTATTTTTACTCAGTAAGGGTCAGTATGTTGAGTCCAACACGAATTTAAATATTAGTATAGATGCCTTATTTCACTGATCAACTGTTTTGATCCTTTAGATTAATCTCTACACCTGTACAATTATCTACTTTGTCAGATATTCATATAATAATATCAGTCTAGCTATTTTTGATATTTAACTTTCAATCCCAGCTCAGTGGGATATGTTTTCTCATGATTTCCATCAGTTCATTTGAAAGATGTTCGACTAGAATTGAAGCAAGCTATCTGCGCAGCTGGTATTTAAAAAGTCAATCAAAAAGGTTTGGTATATAATAATGAAATAAATACGAGAGAAACACCCTAGGAACTAAGAAAGTAAAAGTATTTTAGGAAAAACAAAGTTCAATATAAGAAACAAACTGCTTCTTCAAGGAATAAACAATTTTAAAGGTAGAAAGAGCACGAGACTAGATATATAGATATATATAATAATATTTATAATGTTGACATGTTTCGGCATTGCTTGTGCTATATATATCCTTATTTAAGAGCACTTAAAGCACAGATGATGTCATTGTTCCTATACTTGTTGTACCACATTAAACCCATCAACTGTTTCTAAGAGATCACCAGCCTTAGGTCACGCCATCAGTTATCAAGAATAAGAAGGAAGGAAGGAAGGAA